TTTTCTCGAGCCTTGGATGAATTCTGAGAAACAGCGTGTTCCCGGCTTTGAAATTTTCTTTGACTTGCAGCTGTAAGACAGTGATATAGAGGGAAAGGAGAAACCAATTGTTGAAGGTGAGAAGAGCATGGAAAATGACTCAGACAACAGTGAACTTGAAGTAGGAGCAGCACTGGCATGTCTCCTTCTAGATCCGCCGATCGACTCAAAGAGCTTAGGGGATAACCTAACCATCTCCATGATTGGGGACCAATCGGGTGTGAAGCCTTCTAGCAGCATTTTGGATGCTTCTGAAGCACCATCTCTCATCTGGCAGTTGGAGAAGGGCTACCTGTCTAGTAGATCTGAATCGGGTAGTGAGCTAGAATCTGATTCCACAGAGTCTGTGGAGTCAGAATCAGATTTTGGTTCTTCTGAGTCTGAGTCTAGTATTCCTGGGAGTGATAACCCGGATGCCAAGGTTTTGTCCAAGTCGTCATTTTCTTTTACTTTTGAGTCGGTTGTAACCGAAGAGCTGGATGAGCTGGACCTTATGAATGAGAATGCCACTACAGATTCTGAGTATTTCCCTATGCCGCTTGTTTATTGCATTGATCGGGATTTTTAGAGTTTTAATGAAAACGAAGAGGAAGGAATTCCTCTGGTTTTGAAAATTTTGATTAATCGAGAGGAGGAGAGGTTTGCCAAACTCCCTGCTGATGAAATCATTGCTTTTAATGTGGGCACTGAGAAGGATCTGCGTCTGGTCCAGATCAGGTCTACGTTGTCTTTGGAGGAGCGCGAGCACTCAGTCATTTTATTAAAAGATTTCAAAGATGTTTTTGCGTGGTCCTATGAAGACATGCTTGGAATCGATCCTGAGATTATACAGCATCGGATTCCTCTTGACCCCGAGACCCGACCCGTCAAATAGAAGTTACGGAGAATACACTCGGATTAGGCTTTGAAGATTAAGGAAGAAGTTACCAAACAGATTGAGGCAGGGTTCTTACTTGTGTGGTTGGCCAATATCGTCCCTATGTCGCAGAAAGACGGGAGAATTCGGCTATGTATGGACTTTAGAGATCTAAATAAGGCTAGTCCGAAGGACGACTTCCCTTTGCTGCACATTGATGAGTTGGTAGACTTCACCGTAGGTCATGCATTGTTCTCCTTTATGGATGGATTTTAGGGGTATAACCAGATTCTGATGGCACTTGAGGACAGAGAGAAAACCACCTTCACTACACCATGGGGAACCTACTGCTATCGGGTGATGCCGTTTAGGCTGGAGAATGCCGGGGCTACTTATCAAAGGGTTGCAACCACTATTCTGCATGATATGATCCACAAAGAGGTCGAGGTGTCTGTGGATGACATGATTGTCAAGTCCAAAGAAAGAGAGGGCCACTACACAGATTTGAAGAAATTTTTTTAACGGATTAGAGAGTACAGACTGAGGTTGAATCCGCAGAGGTGTACTTTCAGTGTAATTGCTGGGAAAATGCTGGGTTTCTTGATCACACAGAGGGGTATCAAGGTAGATCCTTCCAAAATTAAGGCCATCCTAGAAATGCCACCACCAAGGACTAAAAAGGAGGTGCGAGGCTTTTTGGGCAACGTGCAATTCATAAGACGATTTATTTATAAATTAATCTCGACTTGTGAACCACTTTTTGGTCTCCTAAAGAAAGGAAAGAAATTCTGATGGGATGATCAATGTCAATTCGCTTTTGAGCAGATCAAGTAGTACCTTCAGAATCCACCTGTTTTGTCACCGCCAGAGTCGGGGAAGCCTTTGATTTTGTATCTGTCACTAACAGACACAACAATGGGATGTGTGCTTACTTAGGAATCTGAGGATAGGGTGGAGAAAGCCATCTACTACTTGAGCAAGAAAATGTTGGATTATGAGACCCATTACACCCCGCTGAAGAAAACTTGCTTAGCCTTGGTATGGGCCACCAGGAAGTTGAGGCACTACTTGTTAGCTCACTCCGTAATTCAGGTTTCAAGATTAGATCCCATCAAATATCTCTTTGAGAAACCAGCTCTTACGGGTAGGCTTTGAATTTGATCTCAAGTATGTTACTCACAAGTCAGTCAAGGGGAGAGCTGTAGCGAAGTTCCTGGAAGATCACCCAGCAGAGGGGGATGAAGTGATGGAATACCTGTTCCTAGATGAAGCGATTCTACAAGTCGAGAAGGAGACTTGGATAGTGTACTTTGACGGAGCATCTAATCAATCTAGTTATGGGATGGGTGTGTTGCTGATAGCACCCAACAATTCCCATATATCTTTAGCCTTCAAACTCTGGTTCAAGGTATCCAACAACGAGGCAGAGTATGAGGCGTGTATCGTTGGTTTGGAAGCCACCTTGGAACTAGGGGCAAAAAAGGTTGGATGTCATCGGGGACTCGAACCTAGTTGTGTCTCAAGCAAATGGAGACAAGAAGGTCAAAGAAGAAAAGATGAAGATCTATCACCAGACCTTGGACGTTTTGATTCCTAGGTTTGAAAAGCTGACTTTCATGCATTTACTAAGAGAGAACAATAGGTTCATTGACGCCTTATCAACTTTATCTTCTATGATAGACATCCCACTTGGAGTCCGGACGCGTCCGATCATCATTGAGCAGAGATATATGCTGGCCTACGAAACTATTGCTGCAATAGATAAAGCACAAGATCAAAACCTTTGGTACTACGATATCTGGAACTTCTTGGAAACGAAGGCTTACCCACCAGGGGCAAATGTCAAAGACAAGAGGGCAATACGGCGGATGGCCGTTCAATTTATCATCTGCGGAGGTAAATTGTACAAGAGAGGTCATTTGGGAATGCACAAGCTGTGTGTCGAAGTAGAGGAATCAAAGTTCCTGGTGGAGGCTATCCATGGGGGAGAGTGCGGAGCGCACATAAACGGTGTAATGCTAGTCCAGAAGATTCTCAGGCAAGGTTACTAGTAGTCTACCATAAAAGAGGATTGTATTGGTTTTGTTTGATGATGCCACAAATGCCAAATTCATGCCAATCGTATGAACATCCCGCCATCGAAGCTGTACAACATGACTTCACCATGGCCTTTTCCAATTTGGGGAATCGACGTCATTGGGGCAGTCACACCAAAAGGGTCGAATGGGCATGAATACATTCTGGTGGCAATTGATTACTTCATAAAGTGGGTGGAAGCTCAATCCTACGCAGTGTTGAAAGCAGCACACGTGGCAAAGTTCATATGAAACAACATCATTTGCCGTTATGGAGTCCCAAATGAGATCATTTCAGATAATGGTTCCCATTTCAAGAAAGAAGTGATAAACTTGCTAGAGAAATACAATGTGGCTTTCCATAAGTCATCTACATACTGGTTGCAAACCAACTGAGCTGTTGAGGCCGCCAACAAGAACATCAAGAATAATCTACAGAAGATGGTTGAGACCTACAAGGACTGGCCAGATAAATTGCCATTTGCGCTCTAGGCTACAGAACTTCAATCTGAACGTCTACAGGGGCAACTCCTTACTCTTGTTTGTGGAATGGAAGTTGTTTTTCCAATCGAAATAGAAGTCCCGTCGCTGCGAGTTATGGCTGAATGTCAAATACCAGAGGCAGATTTGCAGCAGAGCAGGTTTGAAGAACTGATGTTGATTGATGAGACAAGGCTGAAAGCATTGTACCATTTCAGGGTTATCAACGTAGGATTGCCAAGGCTTTCAACAAGAAGGTTAAGTCCCAGAATCTCAAAGAGGGGATTTGGTGCTGAAAGACAACCGAGCTCCCACCCATAACCCTAGGGGCAAGTTCAGACCCAATGGAACTGGTCCTTACATCATCAAAACTGTCTAGTCGGGTGGAGCTGTTATTCTCATGGACCTGAATGGCCTAAAATTTTCCCAACCGATTAACATGGACAAGTTGAAGAAATACTATCCCTGAGAAGCTTGCTAGGCCAAAAACCCAGAAGGGCGACCTAGGCAAAAGTTAGAGCATGAAAAATTAGAAATAAAGAAAAACTGAGCTCGCAAGGTTGAAAACCCTAAAGGGCAGCCTTGATAAATTTCATTCATGCAACTCCTTTATTTTGATATTATTCACTAGGCTATCACTCACTCTCATTTATATGTGTGTAGGTGAGTAAAGAGATGTTCAATCCCAGCCTCAGTGAAAGACATAAGAGAAGTCAAGTTTTCATAGAGTCAGCTCAAACATCTCACGCATGAGACTTGTTTTGTTTCTTTTGTTTTCTCTTTGTTACCTTGGTGAATATGTTGGATCACCATGTACATAAGCTTTTTGTTTGGCTGACTGTATGTTTGAAAGTTCCTGGACATATAAGGTGTTAATTCCATCTATATGTGTGACTTATTATGAAATGTTTGTTTTAGCGTGTAAGCACAGCTCATTGGACAAAATTTTTTAGTCTACTTCCATTCGGCCCCATTATTGTTATAAAATATGTTTGATTTCTATTTGAGGCCGTTGGTAATCCCATGATTATTGGTCGGTTATGACCTTAATCTATAGGGGCGGGTTCGAGTCATTACAGAGTGGTATCAGAGCACGAGTAATAACTCACACACTTGTCCAAATGAGCAATAAGCATCTAGAAACGATCTAGGATGCATTCATGTGATAAGAATGAACTTGAAGACATCGAACATATGCTTAAATTCTTCAAAATGAATGACTATGTGCTATATATTTTGTGAATTACTCGCATTTATGAATTATTTGAAAACGTGTACTCCTTTGCATATGCGTACTTGTGAACATTTTGTATAATGAATAATGCAAGTCTAATCAGATAATGGTAAGAACAAGAGGTAATGAAATAGAGGAGTCCTCAACTGGCAGAATGGATAGGATGGAAAGGTTGATACAAGATATGGAAGAAACATTGAGACAACAACAATAGTGGCAACAACAATGGCAAAGCCACACCCTCTGCCTCATACACCACATACTTGACTTACAGAATGATGACCGAACAATAGCTCTCACCAAAGAGTTTAAGAAAATGAAACCACCACAGTTTCATGGGGGATTGGATCCATTAAAATCTAAAGCATGGGTCCTCGGCATAGAGAAACTATTTGAGATATTTCCTTGTCTAGAAACCCAGAAGGTATTGCTAGCCACCTTTACTCTTGAAGATAAGGCAAGAAGATGGTGGATGTTAATGCATGAAAGCAATAAAGATATTGGTTGGGCACGATTTTTGGAGATTTTCTACGACAAATACTTTCCACAATGTGTCCGTGATAGGAAAGTGTCAGAGTTCATGGGACTTAAGCAAGATGGCATGACCCTAGCTGAGTATGAGGACAAGTTTATTGAATTGCCTAGATTTGCACCACATACGGTCGATACCGACTACAAAAAAGTGAGACATTTTGAAGGAGGGCTTTGAGATGATATCTTAGAGAAACTGAATGTACTCAAGCTAAAAACCTATATCAAAGTGTTAGACCGAGCCATGATATCAGAAGCTAATATAGCCAGACAGGCCAAATCATCAACCGACTAGAAAAGTAGTAAAAGACAGGGCTTCTTTTCAAATAAGAGATTTTCAAAGAAGCAAAATACGGGTTCCTCAAGTAACTCGAATTCTTCCAGAGGCACATCCCCAATGTGCAACCAGTGTGGTAAAAGGCATTGTGGGGTCTGTTACCGTATATCAGAGGCCTGTTTTAAGTGTGGTAAAACAGGGCACATGGCTAGGGCTTGTAATCAAAGCAGTGGGAAGATAGTTGCTAGCTCAACTGCATCGATCCCAAAACTGGGAAACAATACAAGGCCTACTATCGCCAGAGATACCATGAGATAGGGAAGAGTCTTTGCACTTGTTCCGGGCGATACACAGAACGCAGAAGCCGTCGTTTCAGATACTATCTCTATATGTAATCAAGATGCATTTGTGTTAATTGACTCCGGATCAACGCACTCCTTTGTAACATATGCATTTGCATCTAGATTGAGTAGACCTCTAGAGTCATTACCATATTTGTTATGTGTATCTGCTCCATCTGAGGAATCTGTGTTGTGTACATCTGTGTGTTGACTTTGTGATATACGTGTCGGGAATGCTACCTTGTATGTGGATCTGTTACCCCTGGACTTTAGACATTTTGGTGTAATTTTGGGCATGGATTGGTTATCTAAATACGATGCCACCATCAATTGTGTAACGAAACAAGTTGTATTTAAACCACCAAGACAGGAAACAATTGTGTTTGTGGGTAACGGGGTAGTGCCTCCACCTTATTTGATATTTGCAATGAAGGCATGCAAATTAATCAGGAAAGGGTGCCAGGGTTATTTATGTTGTGTATTGTCCGAACAGTTTGTGAATGTTGAATTGAATAGTATCCCTATTGTTAGCGAGTTTCCAGATGTGTTCCCAGATGAATTGCCAGGAGAATTGGTTGACAGGGAGATAGAGTTTACTATTGATATCGTGCCAAGCACTCAGCCTATTTCAAAAACCCTTTACAGAATGGCTACTGCTGAAATGAAAGAATTGAAGGAACAGTTGCAAGACCTACTGGACAAAGGGTTTATTCGACCGAACACATCGCCATGGGGTGCACCGGTGTTATTTGTGAAAAAGAAAGATGGAACCTTACGCCTATGTATTGACTATCGAGAACTGAACAAGGTGACAATAAAAAATAAATATCCCTTACCTCGTATTGATGACTTGTTTGACTAGTTGCAGGTGTCATAAGTGTTTTCCAAAATTGATTTGAGATCCGGGTACCACCAGTTGAAGGTAAAAGCAGAGGATGTTGAGAAAACTACGTTTCGGACAAGGTATGGCTGTAGACGTCCCCGAACGCCCCGGGAGGACGAGCTCCCGTTCCGTTCGATATTGGGCTCACTACAGCTCAGGACTCTCAAATTGTCACGATTCGTAATCTGAACCAAAGAGTCCAAATCTGGTAAATCGTTTTGAGAAAACAGATTTTGAAAGAAGTGCCAAACATGGACTGCTTTGCTAGATACAGAGTCGCCACCTAAATGTTTTATTTTGGGAAATTTAGGAAACCCTGACTCGGTGCCAAAGGCCACGTGTCCGTCATCACCAAAGTTGCCTCGGCTCGGGAACTTGGGTACGATTGGGGAAGGTCAGCTATGAGCACCCCCTCTCGCCCGATCTGAAGATTAGCCTCTACTAACCATGATATCCGTTTTTGAAAACGTTATGTGTTCTTATTCCGGTTATTAACCTAGAATTAATATGTTATGCGCACAGCACAAAAGTATAGATTAGATTGCCTAATTTGGGAATAAGCATTGCATATCCGTTTGTTTTGGAAAAATGTTTTGGAATTTGCTACTCGCAAAAACACGGATTTCAATGAGCTATTCCAACTCAGACAATCCAACCTTCACCCACAGGCATTCAAGCAGTTATATCACATAAGCAGCTAGGCTCATGGTAATCATGCTATCATGGCAACACTCACACGCATGCAAGGATGCTAAACCATAAAAGCTTACCTAGTACTCCAAGCCAAAAAAGAAACTAGTTAGTAATCACATGCATGATCCTAGTTCATGTTTAAAATGGCTAATGCAATCGCATGCAAAGATGCAATCTAGACAAGCTTGGCTAATCTATAATGACATGTGAAATGCTACGACTAACACGTATTCAATTTGGAATCGAAATAAAAATGCAGTTAGCATGATGCGCCGAGCCCGGTGCATGCAAAACAAATGTATGAATGCACGCATGCATAGCATAAGGTATGCTAATTTAAATATGCCCTAGTCTACCATCATAAGCGGGTAAATAAAAAGGAAGAAAGACGTGGGGTTGGAAGACATACACACTCTCACACACACTTATTACACAATTGCCCTCACTCGGAGGGTCCAAATAAATATTACAATCCGAATAAATAATACTAAATTAATTATTACAAAATTTCTAATCTAATTAACAAGCTAAATGCAAAGAGAAGATGGTCGCAGCCCCCACCTCGGGATATACGAATGATGCATGCTCGGTCCATTTTGCCCGAAAACCCGTACCATGCCACTGCTGCCTCTATTAATGCTGCCCTGCTCCTCTGAAAATTGCCAAAGTCTCAGGGTATCTTTAATGAGCACTGCATAACACCACCGGCCAAGTGAAATGACCACCGGCCATGGTAAAATTCCGTTGGCTTCTGATGAACTTATCGGCCGTTCGCTAATGGCCGGTCGGCACTAAATGTTGCCGGTCGGCAAAAACTTCCTACAGAAAACAGTTTTGACAGCAGCAGAGGACAGGTAGTGCATGGCATAGGATTTCAAGCACATGTAAGCATGGTCATGTTCCCTATCATGTATTAAACTCAGGGGAGCATGGTCCTTGATCCTTGGGCCATCAATTGCACATGATAGCCTAAGGGACCAAACTTGTCATTCAATGTAAAATGCATGCAACACAAAAATGAGGACCAAGACCCTATCATGTCAAAGTCAAGGGCCTCGGTGACCGAGGGTTGAGATGTGTTTCATCACTTGTAGTATGAACACCTCCCACCCTCACACTAGGTTTGACACTCCAAACCAAGCAATGCAATGCATGTTATGCAAACATGGCTCAAAAATGCAACAAGAAGCTAAGATGCAAAACATGTCAAACGTGATGCAATGCAAACTGTCATGCAAACAACAAGGTAATGCCACTAGCATGCAACACTACAAGCAATACTACAATACACACTAGATAGGCAAGTATGTAAAGAGGTGAGCATGCAACAATGCACAAACCATAAGGATACCACAACTGCAATGTCATGAGCATACTACAAGATGCAAATATATGATCCATGGACTTACACTAAGATGGAGGACCCTCAGCCACACCCCAAAACAATGGCCAAAAGTGATGGAATGATGGGCAAATACTCATGCAAACTTGCATACCAAAGAGCATAAGGCTAAGGCATAAAAGAAGCCTTTTATCCATTATTATTCAGACCACGAATACATGGAAGGTCAAATTATTATATCAGATTTTTATTATCTGAAAATATGAGTTTTTATACCAACCGTGGATGAAGACTATTAGTTGGGTCAAATATGTAGAGATGAAGTTCGCATTTTATGGATCATGGGGGCAATATGAATTACACTACCTTTTGGTTACAAATTTTATCTCTTTGCCAAGTTGATTTGGGCAAGAGATAAGATGGCAGGTTTGATCAACTTGAAAAATCTTTATTGAGCGGGTTTTGCTTGGTGAAGTAGATTAGCAAGTTTGACCAATTTGAAAAATCTTTATCGAGCAGGTTTTGCTTTGTGAAGTAGGTTGGCAGGTTTGACCAACTTTGAAAATCTTTGTAGAGTGGGTTTTGCTCAGCAAAGTAGGTTGGCAAGTTTGACCAACTTGAAAAATCTTTGTCGAGCGGGTTTTGCTTGGCAAAGTGGGTTGGCAGGTTCGACCAACTTTGAAAATTTTTGTAGAACACGTTGGTGGTTTGTCCAACAGTGGGATTCCTTGCCGAGCAGGTTTTGCTTGCCAATAAGCAAGTTGGTGTTTTGGTAGTTCTTAAAAAGATTAGGCATTCTTGGAATAAGTCTTAACTAGGAATTTTTGGAATAAGTCCTAACTAGGTTAGGCATTCTTGGAATAAGTCCTAGCAAGGCTAGGTGTTTTCGGAATAAGTCCTAACGAGGTTAGGCATTCTTGGAATAAGTCCTAACAAGGCATTTTTGGAATAAGTCCTAACTAGGTTAGGCATTCTTGGAATAAGTCCTAGCAAGGCTAGGCATTTTCGGAATAGGTCCTAACGAGGATAGGCGTTCTTGGAATAAGTTTCAGCAAGGCTAGGCATTTTTGAAATAAGTCCTAATAAAGTTATGCATTTTGGAATAAGCCCTAGCACCTTTGTATGGTTTTAGCTAGGCATTATTACACGGCTATTTTTATTATAACAACAAAAAGTTTCCGCTCTTTCACTGGGTTCAAAGAGAATGAAAGCTTGGGGGCAATTGAGAGAGAATAAAAATAACCACAAGAATTATGTGAGTCCAGGCATTGCCACGTGGCTTGGTTATGGATTATCATGTATATGACAGTTATCAAATTCTTATCAAACACTGCATTAGTGTTTTATGTTATGCAAATCTCATCAGGATATGAAATCTTATTGATATAGAAGTCCTGAACAACCCGAGATTGTTTGAGATCTACAACAAATTTGGGATTTAAAGACAAAACAAATTTGTCCTAAAATGTATATATTTCGTCACTCAAACTAATTGCGACGAAAATTTTTCGTCACCCATTTTGTTGCCAAAGCGTCGTCACTAAAGGGTCTTAGAGACGAAAAAACAAATTCATCATTGAAAATGATAAATTTGTGACGAATTTTTTTGTCTCCAATACACTCTATTGGGAATATACTTGTA